CGTGGGTATCCCTCCGGGCCCCTCCGACCGGGCGCTTCTCCATTCCCCGCCCCGAGGGGGCGCCAGAGGGCCTCCCCTGACAGGGTGGCGCTGGCGGGGTGGGGGTGGGAGGCGGAGCCGGGAGGGATGGCCTCGGGCCAGGATAAGAGCGCCGCACTAGGCTGGGTCGAGCCGGCGCGTTGGCGGACGGTGGCTCCGCGATGTTGTTAGTGATGCTGAGTCTGGCGGCGTTGTGCGGGGGTGCGGTGACCTCGGAGCCGGTAAGCCCCCTTGCCCGTCCCTTTCTTTCCAGCGTTCCCGTCCCTTGAGCCCGAACCCTGAGAGCGTCGGTCAGCTCATGTTTCTCTGGGGTGCTTGGCGAGGACCCTTGGGAGGGAGCACCTGTGCACTCTCTGGGGCAGCCAACTGGTACCGGCCGGGAGGGCACTGGGCATCGGGCTGCTTGAGTCAGGGGCGGGGGAATCAGACAGACCCGGGTTCAGATGCCAGAGTACTCTGGATTCAGCTGGTTATCCTCACTGAGCCTGCGTGTCCTCATCTGTGAAAGGATACATCAGGGTGTAGTAAGGTCAGCAACAGGGGCTGCAAAGCAGCAGCAAAGAGCCTGGCATATGGTAGGTGTTCAGTATGGTTACTGCCTAGGGTCTTGAGGTCTGCCCACTTCGTGGGCTAAGACCTACTTCTCCATTCCACTTGCCTTTTTGGCCATGTTGATTTGGCTGTGCTGGGGCCCTTGCCCCCAGAGCTAAGCTTCTGAACTCTACCTTTGGGTTTCCTTCCTACCCCTATGACTTGAAGGACTGAAGGAATCTTCTGGGTCATCAAAGAAGAAAAAGCTTATCTGCAAAATAGCATTTGAAGTTATCTCTCTGCCCTTTTAGCACAGCACGTAGCATAAAAGCATGGTGTTACTTGATGGTGATGGACAGACCCCATTCCCTGCTCTGTCTTCAGCTGCTCTCCTTGTCCTCTGTCTTAGCAATGAGACCCCCTGGCCTTTTCCACTAGAGGAAGAATTCATTGTCTTTGCAGTAGTTGCTATTAGGCCAACAGCTTGAACTCTGTAAAGTTTAGAGCTGATGCTTTGCTTCTTTCTAAATTTTGTCTCACCAGCCCTTTGACAAAAACTTAGCTCCCAGTTTGCTGGCTCATTTGTTCAAAGAGAAAAACAAAACTGATGATACCCCTTAGAATTCAGCTTTAAAAGGACAAAGACAAGCGACTGAAGTTTCACCCAGCTCAGATTACTTGAACCATCAAGTCTTGCCTTGTGTCTTACAAGGCATTTGGAAACGTTGAGGCTGAGAGGACTCAGATTCCACAACTGGTGGGGTTATCACCTTGGGTCTTGTAGTTGGAATGTTCTGCTGCCTTTTAGGTTCAGGTTTTTTTGTTTGTTTGTTTAATTACAAAACCGAAGTACTAATTATTTTTTCTTATGAAAAGACATAAGCAGTTAACCTCAAAGGATTTAGTGCTGGCCTTTCTTAGACATTGATGATACTATTTTTTTTTAAAGTTCTTTTAAAAAGATAACATGATGAAATCATAGTTGCTTTATGATTTTGTAAATAGCTCAGATGAGTCTTTCTATATTAAAAGAGGATTTTTTTTCTAAGAACCTGGGGAAGGTACCACAGACTGCATTCACAGCTTCCTTCTCCTCATCTTCTTGGCACAGTCAGTCCTTAACCTGGGGAAACTGAATAAATATTTTAGACTGTTCTGAAAACCTACAGTTAAAACGTTAGCATGAAGGGGCCTTCATAATGGTCCAGAGTTATCTCCTGCTTGCAGCGTGGAAGGCCGAGGTGAAGAGTGGGTGGAGACCCACCTGTGGTCTCTAAGGGAAGTGATGGGCAGACTTGAGGATCATGCATACCGGTGGCTAACCTACGGTCCACCACAGCCTACCATGGTGACACTTATTCTTCCCCAAACTGTGAACAGAATCCAGTGAAGTGGAACTGGCTCAGCTTTTATTTGAACATTCATCACTTGTATATGCATTTAAGGAAAAAGATGGTGTTTTGTCTAATTTGGCAAATGAAGGCTTGTGGTTTGCCGGCATTCAACATGGCACTTGGTTTCTTTCTCTCTTGCAGACAATTCAGTGTGGCTCTGAATCCGGTAGGTGCACTAGGAAATGGGTATGTGGGGCTTTACATTGAAAGCACAGTTGCACTTTTAAGGGACCCAAATCCTGGCAGTGGGTCATTAGGGACCAGGCGCAGGGTAAACCATTGCTTTGTTAACTAATGCGGGTGAAGCTTCTACCTACCCAAGGCAGAGCTCTCAGGGTTTTGGGTGGGCTGGCCTCCTGGCAGGAAGAGGCACAGGCAGGGCAGGAATCACCATGCAAGGCAGAAAAGAAAGGCTGCCTCTCCTCAGAGGGAGATCAACTGCCGTGGGATGGACGTCACTTATAGCTGGGGACAGGAAGCAAATATTTTAGAGAAGGAGGAGTGTTGGAGATGGTAGCATCTGAAGAATGAGTGGGCTTCTACCCAAGAAATATGGATACACAGCATGAGCTGAAGGAGAGATGGTACTGGCAGAAACAAGGTAGGAAGGAGTCATGTGGGCCAGCTGGCTGGAGTCCAGGCTGAAGCATGAGGAAGGCAGGACTGATCCTCATAAACATACCAAATACATTAGATACAGACATACGTACACAGGGACCTGGAGTGATCCCACGTGCTCTGAGGCTGGGGCCAGGAGGTGAGCATCACCTCGGCTGTATACCAGCCAGCACTGAGAGGTGTCTGGCCTACCTTAGCAGGAAGAAGAGATGAATTGTGAGTGAGGGGTGGGTCAGAGTGTGTCACACAGAACAACAGGTGGCACTAGACTGCTGGAGAGAGAGTGTCATGACCAGTCTCACCTTCTCCCAGGACCATCTCCAGAGTGGATGGTCCGACATACTCTGACCCCAGGAGACTTGAGGGACCTCCGAGTGGAACCTGTTAAAAGCAGTGATGTGATGGAGGACTATTCAATTTTCATGAACATAAGCTGGATACTCCGGGCTGATGGTAAGTTTGCATCAGTTAAAGATAAGGCCTAAAGTGTCTACTAAAGCAGAAATGGGCAGATTCTACGACTCATTACTTCCCCTCTAGTCCCATACCCAACAGGATACATACATGCATGCACCGAAGCCACATACTAGAATGTTCATAGTAGCAGTATTCCTAACAGCCAAAAAATAGAATGCATCAAATGCCTGACAGTAGAATTGGAATCACAAAACAGAATCCAGTATAGCAATGAGCAAGAACAATCTATAACTACACACAATATGGAGGAATCTCATAGACAGAAGAAGCACACATGCCTGCAGTCGCAGCCATCAAATGATTCCATTAACAAAAAGTGCAAAACAGGCAAAACTACTCTAAGCGGTCGGAAGTCAGTACAGTGGCTACTCTCGGGTGAGGAGTGACTGAAAGGAGGCCGGGGGACACTCCTGGGGAGTTTCTTTACTTGGGTATTGGCTGCATGAGTGTGCAAACTCATCAGGTACTACACTTGTATGCTTGTCTGTATGTTATGCTAGCCTTCATGGAAAAATGGGTTAAGGCCAGAGAAAACCCCCCAGCTTTAGGAAAATGTAACTTTTACACCTCCCAAATGGCATCATGGAGGTCCTGGCATTTCCCAAGGCACCTTGTGAGTTCTTTGGAAGAACCAATCCTTGGGGCCTAAAGACCATGTCTGTGTGTTCCACCCACTAAATTCAGCGAAATTCCATCGGGTCAGTAATCTGGGAGTGCCAGGCACGGATTGGTGAGTCAGCTATAGTCGGATTCTCAGAGGGTCAGGAGGAGGCAGACACTGGCACAGACACAGTCAGAGGAATCCCAGAAGGACCTGTGCTCCAACTGAGGGGGTGGGAGAGCAGGAGAGGGCCCTGGTGAGACCACATTAAAGTCAATGTTGCAGTAAGGCATTTGGCTTCATCCCTGGCATAGAGCGAGCGCATTTTTGTTAGCTGTTGTTATAGGCGGTGGTGCATGAGTTGGGCCTTGAAGAAGTAAGACTTGGAGAGGCAGAGAATAGGAGGCGAGGGCATTCCAGGGAGAAGGATCAGCATGGATAAAGGTGCGGCCTGAACAGGCACAGCTGGTGATGACACTCTGGAAGGCCTCTGGGGAGTTCTACAAAGCAGCCTGTTCCTCTTAAAAGAGACCCAAAATAGTGCAGAGTTAGAGTCACCTTTGCAGGTTATCTGTGAAATCAGGCTCAACAATGAGGAAGAAGGGCTTTGGAATTGGAATCCATATTCTGCCGCTGATGGACTCTGTAAGCTAAGGCAACGCTCCCTGAAATTCCCTAAGCCTCGCTCTCCCCATCTGTAAACTGGGGACAACCACAGGGCCTACCCTGGAGGGCTATGGTGAATGTGAACTAAGATGAGGCAGGGTAAGCTGTCTAGCATCAAGTCAGCCACATAGGAAGTGCTAAATATACAACTGCCCCCTTGCTACCTCGGCAGCCAGCATCCGCTTGCTGAAGGCCACCAAGATCTGTGTGACGGGCAAAAGCAACTTCCAGTCCTACAGCTGCGTGAGGTGTAATTATACCGAGGCCTTCCAGACTCAGACCAGACCCTCTGGCGGCAAAGTAAGTGCTTGGAGACACTTGGCTAATTGTCGCTAAAACCAGGTCCTTTGCTGGGGAGTGTGGATCCTGTGACATACACACACACACACACACACCCCCACAGGCTGGTGAACAGCTATAGCCTGGAGACTTGAGCAGGACACCTGGGTTCATATCCCATTTCTGGCCACTTCTCTTCTTTGTGCCTTGGGCAAGACAGCATCCCTGGGCCTCAGTTTCCCCAGCAGCAAAGTGAGGGGAACTGAACTTAACTTATATCCGGGCTCTAGAATTCCACACTTGTCTGATTTTCATGAGTTATACTGGCAAATTTTGTGGGGTCTATTTCCTTAGCAGACATTGGCTAGAGACATGAATTTCAGCAGGAGGTTAAGGAATGAAATCATAAATGAAAAGGACTTGGAAACTCAGGGGTTCCTGCTTTGCCTTGCAGTGGACATTCTTCTACATAGGCTTTCCTGTAGAGCTGAACACGCTCTATTTCATTGGGGCCCATAATATCCCCAATGCAAACATGAATGAAGATGGTCCCTCCATGGCTGTGAACTTCACCTCACCAGGTAAACTTCCTCACTCTTTTCTTATTCTCGTCTGGCTGGGACACCTGCTTTGGGGCATGTGGTTTGGTAGAGAGGCCAGGGTACCCTGGACATGGTGTTTAGCCTTGCTGAGCTTTGCTTTCTCATCTGAAATATGGACACAATAGTAACTGCACCTGACTCACAGAGGAGAGGACAAAGTCAGGGAAAATGTAGGGGAAAGCCCACTCCCGTGTGTCAGGCGCTGTGCTGAGCACTTGACATGCATCATCATCTCACTTAAGCCTCCAACAGCGCTGAGGTGGGGATAGCCCCGTTTTATAGATGAAGAAAGTGAGGGCCTCAGTAACTTGCCCAGTGTTACACACACAGTAAAAGTGAAGCTGACCTTTCAGACTTTGGTTCTTCTTGATTGATGCACTGTAGCCACTCTTTGTCATTGATGTAAAACATTTGTTCTGGACTCGGCTTCCTGGCAGGCTGTGTAGTTTGACAGCGTGTGGCTGGTCTCTGAGGGTGTGTGGACTCCAGTAGGCTCTTAGGCTGCAGTAAAGAGGCAGGGTGGCACAGCGTGCTGGATTCTTACTCCTGCTCTATGACACCCGATCAGCTCTCTGGTGTCACACCTGCAGTGTCACGTATGGGACTGGGGCAAGGCTGAGACAGGATCGTGCATGTGCAGGGTCCAGCATGGTCCCTGGCTGCAGCAATTCCCATGTCACCTCCACCCAGGCTGTTGGGGTGTTCAGTACCTGTTCAGTACCCCATGCCTGACCCTGTCTCATGTACAGCATCAAAGCCAAAGGGGGCAATTTCTAATCCATCATTGTTCCTTGAGACTGTGAGCCAGTATATTCTTGGTATCACATCATTTACCACACAGTCGTTCCCAGCATTCTTGATGAGACCAAATCTCATTTAAAAATGTTTATATTTTGGAGTAATTTTAGATTTACAGAAAAGTTGCAAAGACAGTACCAAAAATTCCTGTATACTTCTCACAGTTTCCCCTGTCGTTAACATCCTACATTTCCGTGGTTCATTTGTCAAAACTAGGAACCAAACTTTTGTATATTTCTGTGACTCTAGACTTTAGTTGGATTTCACCTTCTTTTCCATTCATGTTCCAGTTACATTTGGTCCCCTGTGCCTCCTTGTGTCCTGTCTGGTATGTGACAGTTTCTTAGTCTTCCCCTGTCCTTCATGACCATGACAGTCCTGAGAAGTGCTGGCCATGCACCCCACAGGATGTCCCCCGATCTGGGTTTGTATGACGCTTGTCTCATGATTAGACAGGGGCTCTGGGTGTTTGGTGAGACTCCCACAGAGGTGAAGCAGCCTTCTCATCACATCTGGTCAGGGGTGGGTGACGTGCACAGGACGTCATCGCTGGTGCTCACCCCCATCATTTGCTTAAGTGGTGTCTGCCAGGCTTCTGTATCAGTCTACTCTTATTTTTCCCCTTCTCTAGTTTTTGGAAACAAATCATTAAGTCTACCCCTCCACAGGGATGGGGGTGTTCGGGGTGGGATTGAACTCCACCTCCTCTTTATGGATGTTACCAAATCTCATTTTTAAAGACTGGTTGGTTTCCAAGTCTTCTCTTGAGGGGATCATAGATACTGTTTTGATAGAGACTGTATTTAAATTACACTCTGGTTATCACCTCATGGGTAGATAATCTTCTGTTTAATAGTATAATGTTAGCATCTCCTTTTAAATCTGCTCTCTTACCTCACACCTGGAATGTTCTGGCAATTTGTTACAGGTGTGATGAGCATATATATGTACACAATTGTTGGCAAGGGGGAGGAGCATTTTGTTTTCTAAAATGTAAAAATGTTCAAATTTCCAGGCTGCCTAGACCACATAATGAAATACAAAAAAAAGTGCATCGAGGCAGGTAAGTAAATACAGCATTTGCTTTTGTTATTAGAAGAAACTCGTAACTTGAGCCAGCACAGCTCTAGTTTTTTTTTAGGATCAAGGAACTGAGGTCTAGAGTGGGGCTGTTATGAATCCAAGTTGCTCAGACAGTGAAGGCTGATCCCCAGCCAGCCCTGCGCCCACTGAATCCAGCAGCCTGTCCAAGGATGGACAGACTCTTGGTAGGTTTATGTGGGGAGCAAGTCACAGAAAAACACCCTCAAACACCTCCCACCCTTGGTTAAAGTAACATTTTAGCCCAAACCAAAATTAAGGTGGTGCCAGTCAAAGGCCCTTCCTGCCTGGACGGGAATCTATAAGTCCTTCCCCAGCTCAGACACTACTCGGTACCACTGAGCTATGGCCATGGGGATCCTGTGCACCTTCGGCCTAGGTTTGCAAACATTCAAGGTGCTAGTGTTAGCTACAGTAATGACCTAGAACCATGCTTTTAACCTGTGACCTCACAGGACTTCACCTCTCCTAGGCCAGACTGTTAGAACCTGCCCCTACTTTTTGAATTTTGAAATAATCCCCTTCAGAATAATCAGTCCTAAGTATCCAATTTCCAAGGAGTTTACAAGGATTTATGCATTTCTGGGTAATACAGTCTTAGGGTGCTAATGAGATTAGTGGTACTTGGGGGGATCGGTCCCTGTCTTGCAGGCACCCACACCCCCAACAAGGCACCGCTGCGAACCCTGGCTGACTGAGCTTGCTGGAAGGCAGACTTCGAGCACTGTGCTTCCTCTCTTGCCTCCTGCTGCGAGAGATGTGGAGTATGAACACTGGGGGATGTGAGGGGGTCTGGGGGTCTCCAATCAGTCCTAGTTCCCAAATCCTAAAAACAGTTCTGAGCTAGGGCCTGAAACTGTCTCCTGTGTGGGGAAAACAATGCAAACTATTCTAGATCCTGTTCCTGGAAATTTACTGAGTGCTAATTTGCAAGCCACGTGAATTGGAACAGCCCACTTTTTCTTCGAGTAGGCCTGTCAGGGTATTGTCTAAGCTATGAGGCATTTCCTTGTCTCCTGATATTGGGTAAAGCTGTGGCAGGATGCTCTGAAGGAGGGAGCTCCTGGAACCCAGAATGTTCTAGCAGCTGTGGTCCTGATCCTGAATTCACTTGCTCTATAAACTGAGATATGTCTAACCTGTGGCTCCTGCTACCTATCCTGGAAAGGAGGAAATCCTGACCCCAGCCTTTCACTCAGAATGATGTTGAGAAGTGAGCTGTAGAACCCGGCCTGTGCCTCCCACCACCCCCAGCCCAGGAAAGCTGCTTTCAGCAAAAGTAGTGACACAGGTCACCAACTTTTGCTTAAAACTTTTCTTGGGCAGACATTACGTTAAGATGATAAATAAAAGGTACCTTGTATAGAAGAATCTGGATCTCTTGGATGTGTGCCTGAGAACTTAGAGCTGTATCTGTCAAGCCCTTCTGGGGACTGAAATGCACCTCCATCCTTGTGATTCTCTCTCAACTCACAGGAAGTTTGTGGGATCCAAACATCACCGCTTGTAGGAAGAGTGAGAACATGGTAGAAGTGAATTTTACAACCAGTCCCCTTGGAAACAGATACATGGCCCTTATCCAAAATACCACTGTAATCGGCACTTCTTATGTGTTGAAGGTACATTTCCCCTGCTTCATTTCCCTACCAACACCCCCATCCTCAACCTCCAGCCCTCCCCACCTTGTTGAAGAAGAATGCAGATTCCCTGGACAGATTCTTTTGAGAGAGCACAGGCAGGACTGTCTGTTGTTCAGATGTGCTGGGCTATTTTGACCAATTTAAATAAAGAAAAACAAGTCCCCGGGGGTCATCCCCAGGAACAGCCCTGTGAATCTAAACCCAATCAAAACTAGAAGTCTCAGAAGTATGGTGTGCATCCTGATTCACAGTCTAATGAGTTCAATGCCAGCTTGGGAAGAGTAGTGTTTTCACTGGCAGTCTTTGATCTACCATGTCGTATGGCTCCTAATTCTTGATTTTATCTCACACAACAGCACCAGAATGAACAAACTCGAACTTCTGTGGTGGTTCCAGTGACCAGGGAAAGTGAAGGTGCTGTGGTCCAGGTAAAGTTGAATGAGATGCCCTGGGAAGGGGCGGGAGAGGACTGAAGACCTACGGCACCGCTGTGAGGTACCTTGGAGGAGTCCTTTCTAGTTGGAGCAGATGAGTTCTCTCCCCAGCTTGCTTCTGCCAGCAGTCTACATAAAGTAATGCTCACAGGGAGTCCTGGCCTCAGTCTTCACAGTGAGGTCAGGAAGCTGACTTACTGTCACAGTCCTTTTTGCTTCTGAGTGGCTGTTGACTTTCCAAAGTGCTTTTATTCCCATTTTGCTCAGAGGAATTCTGAGACAGGAGTACCAATTTATTTCCCCAAACCTGTTTTCACCACAAATTGAAGTAACAAAGGATTTGAAATCAGAAGGCTGTGGTTCCTGATCAACTTATGAACTTTGCAGGGCAACTCTGTTCTCTCAGGGCCTGAGTTTACTCTGCTGGTGAACAGGAAATTGGAGTAGCAGATGCTGTCAGGGCTCTTTCAATTCCAAGCTTATGCCATGGGGCCATGGAGGGCCTGGGTGGGACACAGCTACACACAACATAAAAGGAGCTTTTGTTCTTCATCCTCTGGGACTTACAGGCAGCGCTTAGACACACCAGGTGGTGCAGATAACTCTCAGCATGTTCTGACCGCACCCCTTTTCCAGGGAACCAGACTCTCCTTGTCGCAGGGGACTTACCAGTCATAAATCAGACGTGGGTCAAGAGGAGTCCCACTGCTGTTTTTTTAAGAGGACATATTTGCATATGTATTAGGATGTGACCTAACCCTTTTAGAGAAGGAAACAAAGATGTTAGCAACATGTACAAGGTTTAGGGTCGCAACCCAGGAGTCTTAGCAAGTGTTTGGTCTTCGGCCACTGGTCTGGATTTTAGGGCTTTGTTTGAAAGTATGACCAAGGGGAAAAAATGTCCTATTAGAATGCTAGAGAGGGGTTGAAATCAGAGAAAAAAATGACGAGAAATTCTGGTGGAAGTAGGAATCATTCTGAGACTGAAGCATGGTGAGAGCTTTCTGAGCCCCTTATTTCTCCGCAGCTGACTCCGTATTTCCATACCTGTGGCAATGACTGCATCCGACGCAAAGCAATTGTTACGCTTTGCCCACAAGCAGGGGTCCCCTACCCTCGGGATCACAGTAAGTACCCAGCCATTTCCACGAGCCCATCAAAGAGGCTCAGGACAGGAAGGCCTGTCCTCACCCCCATTCAACATGTGACCGGCTGTGTGTGGGGGAACATGAGGGAGGGAGTGTCCCTGCCTCCGTGGGCTGAACAGGGTGCCAGAAAAGACAGCAGTGCTGTGCCCAAGAGCTGCAATCTGAGTAAGAATAAGGCTTTGTTTTTAAGACTGAGATCCTTTACCCAGAAGGGAATACACGAGAAGGGGAAAAAAAATCAATAGTGCAAAACAGATGTTCAAAGTGCCACAAGGATCTGCTGAAAAGTCACTAGAGTAAAAGGACCGATTATATGAAGGAACCCACATTTCCCTGTGTTCTGACTTTCTTATCTGTCTCAGTGGCCCAGGCCTGGCTGTTAATGTAACTTGATGTGGTTACACAGTCAACATTTGGATAACAAATTAGGAATAGTGGCACCAAAAGACACACCTCACTGGTGTCTGGGAGCAGCTTATTCTGGAAAATGTCTCTCTAAATTTAGAGATGTTAGTTTTCACTGCAGGTAAACAAATAAAATGCTTCCAGAACTAGCCCAGGGGTGGCGTCAAAAGTGGAAAAGTGTTTTTCTTAGAAACCCAGCCTCCTAACAGTCCTGACTGCTATGTGGGCCCAGTACCTATGGATTCCTGAGCACTTTGACACGCCAGAGCTTACCCAATCCTCAACATTCCTGTGATGGGGTGGCATTACCCTCCACATTTGTCAGCCTAATAAACAGCCTTTGAAATCACCGTCTGTGCATACTGTATATTAAGTAATTGCACCCCAAATTACATTAATTTGTCAAAGAACAAAAAAGCGAATGTAAACTCTGGTTACCAGAGTGAAAATGCCTGCGTAAATATGGAGTGAGAGGCCAAAGTGATTTTAGAGGACTGTTCCTAATCTCCTGGGTCCCCTAGCCCTATTGAGAATCTAATGAAAGACCTGGACACTTTACAGAAAAACATACCAATCTGCAGACCCCCTCTAGAGATCTACTAACCCCTGGTTTTAAAGGGACCAAAACTTACACAAAGCATTGAGCAAAATTTTGCTTCCAAATAGGAGAAAAATTTGGATTGTTTTGCTGAAGATGAGCGAGCTCTGTTTTCTCTAGGCAGAAGTGTCTTGGGTGGCTGGCTGCCTCTCCTCCTCTCGGCTCTGCTGGTGGCCACATGGCTGCTGGCAGTTGGGATCTACCTAACCTGGAGGCATGGTAAGGGTTACAGTTCAGTTCTTTAGAGAAACCTAGATGAGGAAGTAACAATGAATTTTTTGTAAAAGAGATTCCTCCGGAGGCAATCACATTTTGGCATTAGACAAGAGTCAGACAACATTTATTTAATGCCTTAGAGCTCCCCTAAAGACTGATATAATGACTGGATCGCATCTGCTAAGGGAAAGCGGGGATCGGGACCTCCAGAACTGCAGACCATCACCTGTTTCCTGTTTTACCATCAAGGCATCTACAAGGACTGAAATGGGCCAAAGATAGCTAATAACAAATTGCACTTTACCGATGATAGGTACTCTATGTTAGTTCCTCCTTTTTAAAAATAGTTCTTCCAATAACACTCACTTGGGTTCATATACTCTAAGGATATGGCCAACTCTAAAACACTGAGGACCTGAATAAGAAATCAGAGTATTTATATAGATACAGAGTTAGAAGGAGGTCCACTCAAAATCTCTGCTTCTCCTCCCCTCCACACATAGACAATATAAATGCAGACTTTGTGCTGTCAGAGATAGGACAAGATTAATCCAATGTTCTTTCTGAGCTAAGAAAGCCACATGGAAGGCTGACCGTAGAAATACTTGTATTTAGGGGGCAATGTTTGACCTGTATCCAATAACAGTAGTTTCATACCTAGTATCTGCTCTGTAGCACACGCAGGACAGAATCCCAGTTGAATTCCAGCTGAAATGGGGTACCACTTAACCTTACGGAACTGTAAATAAACTCCACCACCTGTAGGTAGAAGATGGAACAACTACTAAGTTGATCCAACTCAAAATGAGATGTGACGGGCAACTGGTCAACTGTCCCTGTTCATATGACACTAGAAATACTAAAGTTACAATCACCCACCTGACACAGACCACCTTAAACCTAAACAGTTTCTATGAATTTATTTGAAAAGATATGGCTTGATTAAGAATTATTCAGTGACAGGGATTTAGAAAATATATCTTTTACAATATCTTTAAAGTTTAAGCACTGATGTGTTTCAGCTGATGTGTACAAAAGGAGCATCAGGGATATCTTCCTCTGGCAATAACAACATCCCTGGTGCTCCAGCAAGGGATCATTTACCAGTGATGGTTTAGACTAGAGTGAAAGAAAGCCTGCTACTTGTTGTTCACAGATAACAAATGTGTCTCTCCCCCCACAGAAAGGATCAAGAAGACTTCTTCCCCTACTTCCACTCTACTGCCCCCCACTAAGGTTCTTGTGGTTTACCCATTGGAAATATGTTTCCATCACACGGTTTGTTACTTCACTGAATTTCTTCAAAACCACTGCAGAAGTGAGGTTATCCTTGAAAAGTGGCAGAAAAAGAAAATAGCTGAGATGGGTCCCGTGCAGTGGCTTACCACTCAGAAGAAAGCAGCGGATAGGGTCATTTTCCTTCTTTCCAATGATGTCAACACCATGTGTGATGGTACCTGTGGCAAGAGTGAGGGCAGCGCCTGTGAGAACTCCCAAGACCTGTTCCCCCTCGCCTTTACCCTCTTCTGCAGTGATCTGAGAAGCCAAACTCATCTGCACAAATACGTGGTGGTCTATTTCAGTGAAGCTGATACCAGAGACGACTACAGTGCACTTGGCATCTGCCCCACATACCACCTCATGAAAGACGTTACCGCCTTCCGCAAAGAGCTTTTCCACATCAAGCAGCATGTGCCGGTGGGGAGAAGGCTGCAAGCCTGCCACAACAGCTGCTCCTTTCTGTAGCCACCCACGAAGCAGGTGACCTTAAAGCCTTACTACCCCTCCAATTACAGGGAAAAAAGCATCTGTGATGATTCTGAAGTTTCCTGTACAGGTTACTTGTAGGGAGTATTACAGTCAAACCTTGAACCACCCAGGGATTAAGGATTCTGACATTTTAACTCTTCCAACTTTTTCTCTGAAAGCATCTTTTTCTTAATGCAGAGATCACCAAAAGGCTGTTTGTATTAGTATTTGTATTTTCCTAAGAATGCTTATTTTTTTCACATAGTCCAAGACTGTCTGCTCTAGAATGTGGATCAGTTACAAGTGGATGACTGTTAAAATGTAGATTATCCTTAAAGGGCCATGCCACTCCTTCCAATACACGTCTTACAGATAAAGACCACAATGAAGAAACAGTGTCCAGATTCATAAGCAAATACTTTGTACTGCCTGAGACAATACATTTAATGTGAACGTTCACTTATTTGTCATAATCAGTTTTCAGTGCCTGTAAAAGAAAGTGGACATGGCTTATGTCAAAACTTGGACCAGAAACCAACTTGAATCAACACCTACCAGTTATAAGAGCAATATGCTATTAGGTGAAAAACTATCATAAACAGAAATACTTAATATGCTTTTAGAACTAAGTAGCCAATACTAAATTGTGTTGAAGCAGCCTAGAAACATAAATAAAAAGAAACATAAATAAAATCAGTATTGTATAAATTTAATTATTTTGTTAAAAACCTAAAAACAAAAAACAGCAAAACAATTTTCAAATTGAAGGCAAACATCCCAAGTAGTACTAGCACGTAAAAATTCTATTACACTGGCAGATTCTTCGTTTCCGACCTACTGAGCAGATCCTTAGGATGATTTATGTAAAATGTTCCAGTGCCAGCATTTTTCCATGTCCTAAACCTTAAACCTCTCACCATCCTTATTTTTTCTATATTCCCCTTCACCTGCATCTCTTATTTGCACCTACATTCATCTTACCCCACTCCCATTCTTGGGAGCGAGAAGGTGCCTAGCAGACAGTGGCAGGAATCACGTATCCTCTGCATCCTCCCAGGTGTCTGAGCCCCCAGGCTGTGCTCGCTGGCTGCTGTCTCCAAACCTCCTTCCTTTTCTCTGGCCAGAGGCTCAAAAGGCTGGACCAAGGCCTGGACCACTGGTGGTAACAGCTGTCTGTATTTAAACTTTAGTTCAGACGGCTCACAGATTAAGGTCAACTGATCATACTGAACAAAAAGAACTCCAAAAACTTTCACTTCATTTTCAGATAAAGGAAAATTGGGGACCTAATGATTAAGTTAGTAATTGCAACAGTCACCTTGCTTTTCTGTATGACACATTAACAAGTCTAAATTATACAAAAATCATTTCTACTTGGCTTTAGGAAGAAAATGAGTTTTCTTTTATGTGTTCCATTTTTTTTTGTTCCATTCGGGTCAAATAATGATTGTTCTCCTTCCCAAGCCCACCCCAGCTCATGCTGGTAACAAAAGCCAGCCAGCCCAGACTTAAATCTTTGCCTCTGAAAATCTAGACCTGAATGGGCCCCAAACTTTTTTGTAATCCAAGAGAAAATGAAAATTTTTTTAAAAAGCAGCTTCTCTTCCTATCTGGAATTCCAGCAGCACACAAGAGTCATGACGTAAGTGCTTGTTGTACTAGACGAGAGAAAATTCGTAACCAGACATTGCTCACAATTTGGGTACACAATCACACACCCAACCCTCACCATCACATGAGACTGCCTGATGACACTCTGAAGGCAACCTATATGAAAGATTTCACCACTGAGAACTGCTCTACTGCAGCATTTTACATCATCTGAAGTTTGAGACCCTGAGAAAGGCGCAGAGTTTACCACTGGAGTTAATATTTATTCTCAATTGTCCTGACTACAAAAGCAGCTCAGTTTTTACACCAATGTCATGTCCTCACATAGAAGTTAAAATTCATTAAAATAAAGTTAAAATTTTCATGAATCTTATGCACTAGGTCAATAAATTAGAATACAAATATTCTATAAGAGTCTTTTATACCACGAGGCATGTTTTTGGTGTTTTTGGTCTTCAACAGTGACTGTTCTGTCCATTTCACCACACAAAAGCAGCTCGCTCTCGTAGCATGCGGACACCAAAACGCTGCCATTCTCTCTGATAAATCCACAGTTCCTGTGTCGTATCCAAACAAGCCAACACTGCCCCTCCTTTCCATGCAATCAGCCGGGGATCCATGTCCTAGGGAAGTGATACACAAGGATATTTCGATGTAAGCAGGTGACACATACACTTAATCATTTATTTGAATTTGGGGGTAAAAAGAGACCCACTGAGTCAATACCTAATAAGCCAGATTTTCAACTTGCATTAAAGACCCATGAAGGACCCATGAAGTACAGACATCTTTCTATTTCAACTGACAAGAAAACTTTTTAGTTTTTATTACTGAAGATGCTACTATTCACTACTGACCATCATTCCACAATGGTTCCTATAGTCAGGAACATATGTAAGGAAATATTTTATTTTAAAGCTTCAGTGTAATAAATATATCCCACAATCCCTCCCTGAAGATTAAAATAAACATATTCCCAGGAATTGTCAGTGAGATACAATAAAATACAGGAACAATCTGTTCCTAAATTCCTGAATGTGTTTCTTTTCAAGATAGTTCAAAAGCAAAAGATCTCTAACAACCACCTGGCCTATGGAGCAGCAGGAAAGCCTCAATATGAAAGAGAGAAAGATGGAATTGTTCTGGCTGACAGCTGAGAAGGGTCAGACTTTTCCCTGCCCCACCCAGTGCTTTTACAAAGGTGGAACTCAGTCATGGTAGTCTGGAGGACACAGCAGGGACTAAAACCCAGTAATCAGGATCCCTAGTCCACAGCTCCTTTTACCACCTCTCTGACCTGCTGAAAGTAATTCTTCCACCTGCTCCAAGCCCTCAAGAACTCCCCAGACACAAACGCATGCGTCCCAGGATTTTCTGTCCATACATGACATAACAATTAATCAATGCTGTTTCATCTGCATAGAGTCCAACTTGCACTAAAAACAACATACCTTCGGTCTCGTGATCACATCCACATTTTCAATAATTCGCCTGAATGAAGGTGGCATTTTATTGAGAATTCTGTGCTGCAGAAATTCTTGAGCTTTATGAAACATCAAACCACCTCCCACCACCAGGATGGAGCTGTACATCTTCTTTTTGGTATCATCAGATGCTGAAAAGACAGTGAAATCCCTTCCACACTTTTTCTCTGTCCATCACCGCCCTAGACCAAGCCACCATCATCTCTTGCTTGGATAACTGCAGGAGCCTTCTTGGCCCTCTACAACCCATCCCTCAACAATGCTACAGTGCAGCCAGAAGAACCCTGCAAAACACAAATGTGGGCATGTTGCTGTCCCCACCCCTCACCCTGCTAATAGCAGCATTAGGACCAAAATCTCTAAGGGGGCCTATCAAGTCCAGCATGGTGTCTACCCAACTCTTTTATGGCCTCCTCTTTGCACCCTGCTTCCCAGCCACACTGGCCTTCACATAGGCGGCTTCTTCTTCTGCCTGGGATGCCACCCAACCTGTGACAAGAAAACACCCCACTCCCTGCTAGATCTTTCTCAAGTGGCTCTTCTTCAAGAAAGCCTTCCATGCCTCGCATTCTCCACACCTCCTCCTGAGTAAACATTCCCTATTAAATCCCTCAATCAGAAGCTCTCAAAATCAGTACCCTTTAGTTCAATTTTGTAGTACCTGCTACTTATAATTTCACACCGTGTGATTATTTGACTTCTTTTGGTCTCCTGCACTAGGCCTCTATGAGGCCAGAAACCAATTGCTAACATCTGACAATGCAGGCATAAAGTTGGTGCTTAACAGTTTTTGAATTAATATGCTGCAGTGCAAAACTACACCCCAGCCTGAACCCTGCTCTCTCCCAGCTCCCCAGATGTGCTTACAACAACAGTCTATGCTATGAAGGATGGCTTTATCCAGGCCCAGAGCTTTCCCTTCAAACAGTGAAATGGCTGTCTTCCTGGACATCAGTGCAGTGAGAGCCTCCTCAGAATCATTGCCAGCCATCAAGCAGTCTCCCTGTGAGGACCCCAAATCCACCTCCTGGGAATGCAGTCTTTCTGGAAGATCAGAGGACTGGCCACGAAGATCCCCTTCAAATCCAATGGGTTTAGATGCAGACTTTCGATCAGCAGTAGCTTTTGCAGACTTTAAAGCAATCAAAAGGACAATCAGAGAGATGATAACACTATCATAGAACACTGTTGATGTTTCCAGCTAAATCCACCCCTCCCTACCTCACTAATCTACACCACATAAAACAAAAGCTGTGCCTGCAGAGGGGAAACACACCACAGTATATGACCAAGCACCCAGTTCCCACCCCTGGATAATCTGGGAGTGACAGGCGGTGTGCAGAAGATGAGGACATGCTGACAATTCCAAAGCAATTGCTGGCAGGCGGGCAGATCACAGAACTTTACTCTTATTGATTGGGTTTTAAAACTGAAAAGTCAGCGTAGATCAACTTTTTCACCTTTGTACTGAGTTTTTACGTGGACAGGTGGCTGTTACAGATCCTCATTTCCAGATCTTATCTGATCACTTCATGTTCAGCTTTGGGATAGGAACCAAGACTAGAAAAGGTTTACTGCCCTCTACTTCTCCCCATCATGAGCTGCTGTTTCATCAGCAGACAAGAGCTTTAATTTGTACACTTGCATCAGACATCCTATTCCTAGAATCAGTTTTGGACAAAGGAATTCAGCTCTTTGTCTATGCTACCCAACTTCTAAGTGATAATTAAAAAATAGATGGGATTTTATGGAAAATACCACTGGATAAATATTCAAAAGAAATAATGCATGCCAACAGGGAAGTATCTTCATTAAATTAACTTTAAAATGTGTGACTGGTATTCTGAAAATTGGTTTGATGTCTGCTGAATAAAGACATCTGTCATCTGGATTTTAAACACAGACTTCATTTCATCTACAGCCCTAAAAACAGTTATCAGCTTTAGTATGCTGTCAGACGAGAGTGACTGCAATGATCCATTAATTCAGCCAAACTTCTGCACATCCAAACTGCCTCCTCTCATACCAGAATTAACACAGACCTGTTCTTGCTTGCTCTGCGTGGCCAGCAGGTAATGTTCATCATGAGGATCCTCAGGGTCACCCTGGGATCTGTGCTGCAAAGTTGTCATTTTCTGTCCAACAATTCCAAAAGTTGCTGGATAAAATAAAGCCATCGGAGCCTGTGCATAGAAGGAAAGAATGACCAACCAAGAATACTACCTCTTGAAAAAACTGGTCCATCAAATTTTGTTCTTCCACAAACAAAGTTGGCAAATCAGGTCCTATAAGTTAGACCAAGTGAGTGCTCTCTTTTGGGAGTAGCATAACTTCTTCAGTGCATGACAGGCCAGAAAACTCACTTCTCATCAAACTGAATGGGTGATATGACACCAGAGAGAGAGAGAGATCTCACAGTAAATGTAAAATAATTGCCTAGTAATCTACTTTACAATTTCCTAATAAGAATGGTGCCTCTCTCTAAATAACAATTCATCACACAGTGGCCAACTAAAAAGATGGTCCTCAGATCTGTTCTAATCTGTATTTTATCAGTGGCTTAAATGTTGGGTTAGCAGCTAAAAAATCTACAATCAGCTGACATTCTGACCTCATAAGGTTTCCAGCAAGTACATATCCTCTCAGTCTGGCTGAACCTGGCTGGCTTTCTTTCTATCCATAGAAATATACACTCATATGTTACCTGGAGTTTTTCATCTCCTAATCGAAACTGGTAAAGGAGGGCAGGGGAATCTGGATGTCGAATCTGAAACTCATGGTCCTGAAGGCCAGAGATGTCCTGATTTCCGGAAAAGATGATGTCAGTGAATCAGTAGAAGCGCATGTAAACTCCTCAAATGACAAGCCTCTCTGCCATCTAAATCTCACCTATAAAAGGGGTGCCCTACAACTTTCTATCACTCCCATTGGAACTTAACGAGAGTTCAACTGTACTTTGCTTCTTTTTTAACATTTCTGAAATTCCCACCATCTGTGTTCATGTTTTCCCCATTATCAATACACACTGATACAAATAATGGCCCAAACCAATAAGCAAATTTCCTTAGTAACTGGGAAATGTCACTGTCTTATGTTTCTCAAATTTCTTTTTAAATTCAGAATTATATTTGAAAAAGTTAAAAAACAGTCTAAAACAAATAGCATAAAAAGGTACGAATTCACATACAGCAATGATTAAATGTTGACTGTTTATAATACTAAGAAAGTGCTTCAGATGAAGCCATTTCATTAAATGTCTGTATCTACATATTTACCTGCTACTATTCTTTCCACCTAAAAGTTTACCTTCATCCTTTATTAAAAAGACTAGAGATCCTAAAGTGAGAGAAATTAGCTAAACTCTCTTAAAAAAAAAAATAGCTGTGTTCCAGAGCCTGAGACATATTATTACAGCTCTGATCTTACCAAAAACTCACTCAAGAGCTTCAGCCTCGAGGCTTTATCAACTTGGATTGAATGGGTAGCGTAATATTGTTAAATTTTTAATTATCTTTAAATATCTCAAATTTTTCCTGAAAACAAAAATAATCAGCAATTTTGATTCTGCTCCCACCTGATCTAAATGACAAAAAGTTTCTTTAAGGTGCTGCAGAAGAAGGCAATCCATTTTATTTGTTAACTGGCATTCTCTGTAAGGAAACCCAGCTCGCTGCATCAGCCAGTAAAAACATCTCGACACGTCAGATCCACCATATGCCAGACAGAGCCTAGAGTGAAGAGAAAAGGGCACATGGAAATTCTATTGCTTAAGAAGGTAGAGGGTGTTTTGAAAACTCAGGCCCAGTGAAACATAGCAAGTTTCCAGAAATGTTGTAGGAATAAACTAAAGAATGAAAGGACAGAATAAATGGATCAGAGGAAGAAAGGAAACCAGCAAAGACCAGTGGTGAGCACCTAGAAGCAATCATGCTATTTGCAAAAAATCTCCAAGAAACAGAATACGCATTAAATCTAGCTCATTTCCAAATCAGTATGCTTAGCACATTACGTGATAGTCGTTTGCCTGTCTATGCTCACCAGCACATAGAGATGGCAGGGACACCAGAAGACAAACTTACGGGAGAAAATCTTAGAGAATACTATCCACTAACTGAATGTTTCTACAGTTTGGAAAGATCACTGCTGTTTGTTTTGCTGGTAGAAGATCTGGGTCCTGTGTTTTCTCTATACTTTGGGAACTAATGTCATTAAATAACATACACAAATGAGCCAAAACAAGTCATACTGGGTTTTAGAATGCACTGTAACTTGGCATGGCAGGAAATCATTCTCACGGACTGCTTGGGCCCTCATTTAAATTTGTTTCTATGCCGTAGGATTCAAACTACCTATGTGAGGGACAGGAAGAATAAAAGCTTCCTGAAGAAGCCATCCTGGGAGCACAAAACGCTGCAGGGAATCCATATGTGCACTACCTCAATGTGCTCACCTGTGCTGGGCTTGTCTCAGAAAAGACAAGCAACAAACCTGCTTCTGATAGATATCTTATTAACTCCTCCATCAGTGATGACATAATAAAAGGACTTGACAAGTATAAAATTACTTATCAATCACCAAACATAATTATGACAAGAAAAGCAAATACTCAAAATGCTAGCTAGCTAGAGAAGTCAGACCAGAAAACTTATTTTCCCCTACATTACTTGCCTAAATAAAGCTTTGCTGTGAATGTGGTTGGTATTTTTCTGCTAGACTACAGCAAAAGACACAAAGCTAATATACACAGCTCGTCTGTGGAAAAGCACACAACACACACTAGGACTTTCAGGACCTGCTGATTTGAACTCAAATTAGAGACTCCCAATGGGAAGGGTAAAATCAGTTTACAGCCTTGTTAGAATTTGACAGTCTTGCTGGTTTCCTATGAAAAATTTAAGTATGTAATTCCTTAAAAAAAACTTCTTTCTAACTCGTGATGCTTTCTACTGAACAGGCTGTGTGGAGAGAAGGAGCAGGGAATACCACCTCCCAAGTTCCTTACCGAGTGTTCCGATGGGAGACCCCATCCTCCACACAGCACACGCTTGTCTTCTGGTCTCCAACATCTACGATACACGTGCTGCTTAAACCACTTCCAAAGGTGGCGCACACAGACTCCTGATGGACCACAATCCCTAAAAAACAAAAGGTAGGAGCGCAATCAGCTAGGGAGCAGTAAAAATCCCAAGACAAACAGCCAATTAAAGCCTGGGAATCTCTGGGCAAGCATCCAAGCATAATCAACCCTCCCAGAGTAGGTATTTCAATAAAGCAGTGAAACAGATTAACTTTGTCAGGAAAAAAGACAATCTCATTTCAAGCAGATTTCACTGGAATATCAGACATACCTGAAAAACCCATCTTCATTAGGATCATATTCACTAATTCTTTCACATGCTGTTTATTATAGATATCAGGAATTAACAAGATACATCTATAATACTAAAAAGAACAAAAGGAAAAAAGATAAAATGGTTAACACTCAAGTTGTAAAACTTGTAAAATGAAAAATAAAACAACTGATGTGTCCAAAAAAGGTCCAGAATGAAGGCATCAATGTGAGCAAGCTTGCTGACTGTGCAGAGCAGAAGAAAGAAACACCAAGAGACAAACAGAATGGGGGGAGTTCAGTGAAGAAGAAAAGATATCCTCAGTACTTCAAGGTCAAGAAGGCTTCAAGGATACTGCATTATAGACAACTGAACACAGTGTACTTTTATCAACCAAGAATCTGAGAGACAATCCAATAACTGGGAATTTGTTTACCTTTAAATCTTTCAGGGGGATTTCCAAGTATTTTTGTATTGCATGAGACCATATTACTTCAATATCTGCCAGAACAGCTGTAAGGGAGCCCCCAGGTCCTGGGTGAATATTTAACTGACCTCTTCTGATAGGCCAGTGAATATTGTAACAGTCCAATGGATTGACATACAAGGCCTGGAAAAGAGGAGAAGATGAATACATTGTTAAAATTCTTCTCTCTAGGTTTTCTGGTTTCACATTAAAAAAACCTAAGGCCAGAAGTTATCATTAACAATGCTGACTGTTCTAATTTGAGAGTAGAGTATATAAAATCTCAGGAGCCACTGTCAGTATCTGTTCCTCAGAGCAGGATTACAGAATGCTAGGAAACAACTAGAACTGCCTGGCAAAGCAAGTAAGTTTTAGTAATAGGATCCAGGTTTACTTTTTCCATTTCATTGTAAAGAAGTATCCTACCTCTTCTCCTACCAGAAACTCAGGATGATGAGATGTGTTCGTCCACTTATTTCCAGAACAGTGATCTAAAATCGCGGGTCGCATCTGCTTGTTGTAGGAGCGTGCCTGAAATAAACAAGGACCAGAAAATTCTCTGAATTCATGCAAGAAAAAAATGGGCTGTCCTCTTTTCCTCACTCTCACAGACCAGATAGAGCGACAAATTCTAATCGTTAATCCAAGATATGTGGCAAAATATTGATGAGTCACAAGTGGATTCTCCTGCCCTTTTTCACAATCTTGATTTTTCCCATGATGTGAACACTCAGGCTGTGATTCACAGCCAGTCCAAAATTAATACTGCACTCTGCTTAAAATTGAATACAGATTTGTATATCATACACTCATGCCCACTCCTAGCAGTACTGGTTTATCACAGTAAAGTGACAAATGTCCCAAGAATACACCTTCCCATTAAGATACACTTAAGACTGTATAGGTAAAGTGTAAATCTTCAACAATTTGCAGTAAGAAAGACCACCTTACAAATTACTTGGCTTGCCTACACATTTGTAACACTGATTCAGGTATTCTGTAGGTGGTTAAGAATGGTTTTTCCTCCTTTTTAAAGGAAATCTCATCTTTAATTCGCATAATGAAACAGGGAAAGCACATGAATGCATTGTGATATAATAGCACTGGTAAAAGAATGAATCAGAAGAAAGCGCTGAGGCTGAACCTGCTCAGGGGACACAGGGATCCTTCGTGTACCATTTGACATCTTTTTAGACCATATTGCTTGATCCACCATTTTAAGGCCATTTTGTCTTTGTTCATTACTTTCAGGTTTCTGGGGAAAAAGGATGAGAGATGAACAGTATAAAGGATTTAGTGAAAAGGGAAAGAAATATGGTAAATAACTAATTTAAAAAATCCAGCAATAGCAAATGCTCCCTCATCAACAAATAAGCACAGCCTTAATTTCTGTCTTGTGTATTGATCTTAAGAATTCAAAGTAATCTTTTTATTGTTTATTAATTAACAATTATTAATTAAAAACTCAGAAAGGAACCATCACCATAAACTAATTATTTGCAAAAACCTATAACCTCAAGTGACTCTGACTGGTAACAGAGCACATCTACTTTATGTTTACAAAGTATTTCAGAGACTTTTCCATGTATCTATATAATTCTGATGTTTACAATTTTTTAACATTTTATTCCTTCACCTGTTATTTTGCTTAAATAACAAATCTTCAAGTTATTGTAATACTGTACAACACATAGCCATGAACATTTTTGTGGAGATGTTATTTTGTTTTCTTTCAATTTTCATTCCTGAGGTTTATTCCCTAAAGTAGAATTATAACATCCAAAGATATAAATGAATTTTAGACTCTTACATTGTCAAGTTATATTTAAGCTTAGAAATGGACTTAAGGACAGCCTGCTAGTTATGCCTAGAAGTGAACCCCTAAGGCTTACTATCAGAATTATAGAAGCTGCAAGTTCCTAAAACTTCCCCTTATTTAAAATTTAAAAGTAGATTACAATGCAATATACATATTTACCATCTATCATGAAAATGTTTCCTGATAATTACCTCTGCAAAACTGGATGCTTACTATATAACAAGTAAATGCTTACTTTACCCTTGTAAGGAAATACTTTTTTTTGCATTAAAATTATGTTTTGATCTGAGATCATAACAAGTGCTTATTATAGCAATTCAGTTTGCTTACAGATTGAAAATATGAGCTCAATTTAAACTCTAAGTATCTGGGAAAAAAAATATAGCGGTCAGTTAATGCATCACTTTAAGTGAATGACAATTCTGCATCTTCCACTAAAGTTCACCTTCATCAATACCCAAGTTATCCTGATGGGTTAAAAAAAAAAACAACAACTGGATTTACTTTCATTATAATTATTTCTGTACAATCTAAAATTGCTAGCTCAGTTAAAAGAATGATGTTTGTAACCCCAAATGATGTAATTACTTTAAAACACATTAAAGCTATGAAGATGTTCAAGATTACTGCATATACTAGAAAGTCTAAGTCCTCCCAAGGGGACAATCCTGGGCTTTCTCTCCAGGTCCTCCATTTCTGACTTACATTTAATCCCTCCCTTAGAAGCCAGTTGTCCTTGTACAGGGGCTGCCCTTGTTGTTTGTGTCTTCGTGCAATGACATGAGGAATGCTGGCAGGAAGTGTGTCTGTGGCTCGACCGATCCTTAGAGTTGTTGAACCTGGATGTATGACAACAATGAAGTTGCTCTGGATTTGCTGCAAATATAAAACATAGGAGTGTTTTACACGCAGTTAAAAAGTTAAGTAACATAGAGGTAACAGGCTAGACTAAGAAGTCAGTTTCCTGTAATGACTATCAGACTCAAAGGTATCAAAATAGTTCACTAAAGGGAGTCCTTTGAGAGACATCCAGTTACTGCTCTCTGCCCAAATACAAACTCATTTTGTATCTCTATGTTCCCAGGATCTGACTCAGGGTACATAGATCAACAAATATCTGTTTAAACGAATAAAATCTTATTTACCCAATGCAAATCAACCTACAATTTTTGTACATTTCTGTGCCAAGCACTGTGGGTACCATGGTGACCAGGAGAGAACTTTCCTTTAGTAGGGAAGATAGTTAAACAAAGAATAAGAAGAGTATGGGGAATATTATGACTTGTGAAGTGCTGAGCTGCCTAAATATGCATCACTTAAGATGCTTGTTTTAAAAAAATTCCTAAAGACCCTAAGCCTTCACTATGAATTTTCTGATTCAGAATCTCCAGGGAGAGAAAAACTAAACATCTGCAACTTTTAAAAGCTCCTAAGGTGATTGGTATGATCACTCAGATTTGGCAACACAGATTGAGCAGGTGAGGGAAGAAATTAATGTAAGAACAGAATCACTATTTTGTAATGCTGGGAAGTATGGCTTTATACATTAACCACTTCCAAGGATATACAGAAACCGTATTTCAGTCACTGTTCTTAAAGCACTTTATCCTTGTTGGTTCTGTGCTACCTACCTAATCAGGCAAGAGTTTAGGGTTAAAAAGCCAGAGTTCACAATTCTATCCTCAAAGGTCAGAAAACTCTGCTGTATGCACTTCACTTTCCATTCTTTGGAGACAGTGAACAAGGACTGATAAACAGCATCAATCAGCACAGTGGAGTGATGACTGTGGACCTTTGGAGGATAATTGTTTTAGATCTGTAATTCTCAAGGGGGCATGATATAATCTGAATTGCCTGGGGGAATCTTTACCACGCAAACTTTTTGAGGGACCCAGTCTCAGTAGGGAGTGAGAGAGGGAGGGACTCCGACAATCCCTTTGACAACAGGATGCCTCTGTTGAATTACCATTCCAGTGTGACTCCTCAGTCAGCACCTCCTCGGCCCTGCATTTAAACTATAGTTGTGTCTTCTTGGCAGGTCTCTATTCAAACATCTCTGTAACTTGCCAATAAGATAAAGTCCAGAACCTGCAAGATGAAGAACCTGCCTACTTCTCTGGGCTTCCTCTAGAACCACTTCCTTTTCAGTCTTCTTCATCTTCCCAATTCAGATGTCTCCTGATATCTTAACTCACCATGCTGACTTCTAGGCCTTCACAAAGGCAATTTCCTCTGCCTGCAATGTTCTTTCTCCCTGTTAAATATTACTCCTCCCTTCAGGTCTGAAGTTAAATGTCATCAGACCAGGTTTGTTTGTCCCCCTGCAATCTAATCTTACGTCACCCCTTCTTTTCATGACACTTTGTCATTCTTGTAGTGATTTACTGTCTGCTCTCACAGCAGACAAAACCCTTCACATAAGAAGGGGCTACTGTCTTGTTTGCTAGTCTACGCCCAGCGCATGGAACACAGAAACCTAGAAGGTATGTGTGAATGATCACGGCACCACTTTCACATGACATGGCACTACGTGGTACATTTCCCAACCTTTTGTGTGCTACGGCAGACAACACTTGTCTAGCAGACTGAGTTAAACAGATGAGGCTACTTGCCATCATGGATACTTGTACCTTATTAATGGTACACAGGCAGTAACACACTGACTGGGAAGCTCTGGGGAAGTAAATGCAATTTTTCAAAGTGTGGACAAATATTTTTTAATAATTACATATTTACTTTAACATATTGGAAAAAAACTAGCCAGAAAATCCCATACTTCACTTCCTGGATATTACTGCATAAGATAAGATTGAGTAAAAAAGTTATTCAGCAAATAATGATATGAGAGCCAAAGAGGATATGGAAAAACCAAAGGGCGTTATATAACTGACAGAAGTTAAGCAAATGTTGCTATGGTGGTTAAGGGCCCAGGCTCTGGATACACAGATCTGGCTTTGAATTCAGATTGTGCCACTTCGTCGCTCTGGATGAAGTTCCTACCTCAGAGAGCTACTGTGAGGATTAAACGAGCCTGGCTAGCTCTGTTCTACATTGCCTTCAAAAGTCAGATTTTTTGGCTTACATGACCCTCATGATAATAGCTCTGTTAAGATCTTCAGTCTTCCATGGTCCTCCGCACTAGCCCATCCCACACCACACCCTGATACCTAATGCCTAACCCCCACTGTGAGCTCTCCCCTGCCTCCCCCTCACAATGTGGGAGCATCCCAGAGGGTGGGAATTGGCAAGGCCCTTACACATCATCCAGTCTGTTCCCTCAACTAGAAGTCTGGAGAAACTGAGGCCTGTGCAATAGTAATAACCTCCCTGAGGGTTTACCATGTACCAGGCACCGTGCTATTTATTTTAAACTGCTGGGCCGGTTGAGAATTATCCTTAACCCATCTACCAGTAAGGAAGCTGCTTTAAAGACATCTAACTTAAAATTCTGAGCTTTTAAATACCTCCTTAGTTTTTGCTATGAATTTGCCCATTTTCCTGTGGGAATGTTTTCTTCACTGATTAGTAAGAATACACACACACACACACACACACACACACACGTCTTCTGCCTGCCATGCTCCTACAAGTAATTTTTTTCTGGTTAGTATGCGTTTATCTTTTTCTGGTTTTAACACACAATTCTTAAAGTCTATTTAGACAACTGTATACCTTCTCCTTGTTTGTGCTTGAAATGACCTTCACTACGTGAGATTTCCTTAACAGAGAAAAAAGACTGAACTCCTGAGTATCTCTTACCAAGGCGCGGTGCTAAACTACCTGAAATCACTTACACTTCAGTTGGGAGGAAAGTGACAGCCCTGTCCTGGTCTCAAGACCAGGAAGACTGGGGCTCGCACAGCGGTTGGTGAGGGCGGGCGTTGGAGACGCAGTCAGCGACCTGGTCGTTGACTCTGTGCCCGCGGAGCGACCGTGGAACGACCTCCCCCCACAGCACCACCCACGAGAGTTGGGGCCTGATGCCCTGCAAACCTCAACCTCCCCACTCTGTCCCCTGCGCCCAGCACCGCGGCCTCCACCCCGGCCCGGAAGCCGATTCCGAGGCCCGCCCCCGGCGCACCTCCTGCAGCGACTCCGGCACCAGCGCGGGCACAATGGGTCGTTTCACTCCGCGCTGCTCCTTCTCCTTCTCCCCGCCCTTCTCCTTCCCGTTCTCGGCGTCCCCTTTCTCAGCCTGGGTCATCTTGGTCGCCGACGCTCACCAGCCTCTAACCTCAGGGGCGCGCCGCGACCACCAGAGAAGAGCCTCCTGCAGGGAAAAAACGCTCGGCCGGCTGCCCACAACCAAGATGGCCGCCAGAAGTCGGCCCAGAGCATTCCGGGAAGGAGGAAGGGCGGAGCTGTCCAGAGGAGGGCGGGGCAGGGACTGGATTGGGTGGCTGTTGCCGTGATTGGTCTTGGCTGGAGCATGCCCACAACGTACTTGTGTTTTCTTTTGAGCGGTTGCTGTGGAACACCTGACAACAGGAATCTCACTTGGTCCTCACACCTGCCTCTTCTAGATTCTCAGACACCACTCATAGTTCTGCTTATACTTCACTGCCATGCTTAGTCCAGCCTCTGATGTTAGGATTCATTGGAGTCAGGGCTCCTCTCTACACACTCCTTGGATGACTTTATCCAGTTTCATGGCTTTGAAAGAAGATAAATCCCAAATATATACATTTCCAGTTTAGATCTCTCCCTAAGATCCAGACTGATAACCTATTGCTTCCACTTAGATGTTCACAAGGCATTGCAAACTATGTCCAAAATGAACTCTTGATCCCCACCTCTGGAAAAAAAATCTACTCCCACTCTTACCATCTCAATAAATATCACTTTGTTTCTTCACTTGTCCACATTTTCTACATTCACATCCATCAGCAAACCCACAATCTCTCAAATGTATCTTGAATGCATCCACTTCTCCATTTCTACTGCCTCTACCTAGTCCAAGTTACTATCTCACCTGGATCACCACATCCTCTAAACCAAGTCCCTGCTTCCAGTCTTGTCCTCCTGTGATCTATAGTTGCCCACGTGTCAACTTTTAAAATATCATGAACTAGTTAAAACAATCAATACTATGTACTCAGCACTTCACTTAACAATGCCAATGAGTTATCTCAAACAAAAATTAAACCCATGCTTTAAACTCTCATGATTTCCCTTTGGTCAAGGAACGGAATCTATAGCCCATAACGCCATACTTAATCTAGTTCCTACTACATTTCTAACTTCACACTCATTTCTTCTCTCCCCCCTCTGGCATTTCGATACTCACTTTCGTTCAGCTTCTCAGACATGCCAACCCCTTCCCATCACTGGGCCATTGAACTTGCTGTCCTTTTTGCCTTGAATGCCCTTCCCTTGGCCCGTTCTGTCTCAAATGTCACTTCAGAGATAACTCTCCATGTTCCTTGTCATCTTGTTTCCTTTGAACTTGTCTGCCCAGTTAGTGTTTCCCACAGACAGTATGCCCCATGAGAAGAGGGACTTTGTCTTAATCATCAGTTAGCTTCAGCACATGATAGGTGCCCAGTAAGCACTTGTTGATTAATTACTGCTGAGTAAAGAACCTCCTGAGGCAGGAATTTAATCCCTATCTTACAGATGAGTAAAGTGGGAGAGAATGACCTAACTCACTCAAGAGCATAACTATTAAATAGCAATGATGTGGACACAAACTACTCAAGAGGCCGTGTTCTGTACTACAGTAGCATCCCTCACATGCAGAGGGAAACAGTTAATGTCCAATGCAGTCCTGACTCTAGGATAAGCCCTAAGGAAGAGTCCTTGCAGCAACAGTCCAAAGGGGCAGATCACAGGTCATGTGCACAGAAAAGCCACCACTTTCTGATACTGCCCTGGTCACCCCCACCACAGCCTTAGGTGGAGGTTTGACAGCATGACTCTGCCATTCACTAGCCGTACAATCTAGGAAGTTACAAAACTTCCCTGAGCCCTTGCATGTATCTGTATAATGCACCTATAACCTACCTACCTCAGTGTGTCAGAATTAATAACATGTAAAAGGTAAAATGTCTGACACAGACCTGAGTCATCAACAGACTGTCTTTATTAAACCTACCCTTAAAATTGTGTTCTAATTGCCTCTTTCCTTATCTTTGAAGACCAGTGTACTATGGCACTACAACTCCATTTCCTGGCAAACAGAGTTGAATAAATAGTTATAAACAGATATAAAAAAAGCTCTTATCTTTTCAAAGTCTGTTAAACATAAATCTGTATTATCTACCTTACCTATAAATAGTTCAGTGCCTATTACATGTCGTCACTGTTCAAAGCACTGAGAGAAAGAAGACAAAATCCCTAACCTCAAAGAACTTCTAGTGAAAGAATGAGTTACCAGCATTCAGATGGGGTTAAAACCAACAGGCAGTATCTTAAACAATGGTTTAGAATTAAAATTGGTCAAAATAGAATTGAAATTCATGATTTTAAAGACCACCTAGCAAATCTTCATTTTGTAGCTCAGGTTTGTTAAGGCTTTATAAATACCCAGATAATTATATTTGGTAGCAATAAGACACACTGTATTAAAGATCCATGAATTAATTCAAGACAAAAATTAATTCAAGAGCACAGATATTGTATGCATACTAATGAGATAAATACAATGTGATTTATTTATAAATGAGAACAAAAAAAACTATTTCAGAAGTTGAAAAAGGTGACACTAATAGTACTTAATACACAGTCTTTTATTTTTCTTCAAATTTGGAATTTTTTTGTTTTAACTCTATAAAGATGAGAAGTAAGTTTTGTAACCTAAAAATATTTACTTATTAAAACTATATTAACACTTTCATAAACGTTACAAAAAGATGAGACAAATATGTGCATTTATAGAATTGCATATCAGTCATGCCAGTTCCCTGCAGAGGGAATTCCCAGCACGACCTCATTCGTCTGTGAGGACACAGAGCAAAACTCTTGTTTAGACATACACATTCATCTACTTGTCCAGCATGGTCAGCACTCCATTTCCTGATGGTTTCCTTCTGCTATGAATGTGCATGTCCAGTTGTCTGCTTCTTAGAGCAGACATTTACCTGCAAGAAAATGTTATAATATTAGCTACTAGTTAGTAATTTGGACTGTATGAAAAATCCAGTCATTACATACATGCTTTAAAACCTTCTTCAAAAGACATTTTGATTCAAAAGACAATTTTTCAAGGCTTAAAATATATTTTTCCAAATAAGATGTCTGAGTAGTTACAAAATGTTGTGACTTGTTTTCCCAAAGAAAACCTTCCTAAGAAGGCATTTTCAAAATGAAATCCCTGCAGAATAATTGCAGATTTTAAGTTACCTTCCTCATCCTCCAGCCATTGGAGGAGGATTCGGGCCACGCAGATGATTAATTCGACCCATTCTTCTGGGGGGGTTTCCTGGTGGCCTAATAATAAGACAAGTTAATTTCTACTGTTTAGTAGACATTACTCCAATTAGTTCCTTTTAAACACTCAAATAGACCTTTTGCTTTGTTTAAAATGGGAACTACCATTTAGGTTGGGAGTCAGAAGTTCAAATACTGAAAGAGATCAGACAAACACACATGAGAAAAGAGAGTCCAGCAAGGATTATGATAAACTGAACAGAACCTCCTGTAAATGGCCAACTGAAACCCAGCTCCAGCAGAGTTTTGCCATATGGAACCACAAGCCCCACCCAGTGCTGCTCGATCTTCTGAGAATTTCATTAGCAGCTAGAAATCCAGATTCTAAAGTGAAATCTCTAGATTTTAATGTTTAATATAAATGGCTATCAGTTTTCATCCTCTAATTTAGACTTTTCCTACAGGATATTTGATATACATTTTAATTTTGTCAGATTAACTCTGGTTATCATTAATTTACAGTAATGCATTAATCTTGCGAAGTAGAATTTAAGCCTTTAATTTCCATAAGCCTGACTATGTCTATCTGTCTGTCTACCTATCTATCATCTATCTATCTATAATTTAACTAAATTGTATGGAGAAGTAAAAACATCTTTTATCAATGTAAAAAGCTATACCCTCTTCCATCATCGTATCTGGAGTCAGATGAGCTTCCATAGCCTCTTCTCGTTTTCACATCTTGCTGAAGCAGAGTTCTGAAACTGAAACAAGGAGCAGAAAATAACAGAATTTCTAATTTCAACATTATAAAATGTATTTCCATGGTTTTAACTATCATCTCTGTGGGAGGATGACTAAACTAACAGCTCCAAACCCACATTTTTGGAAGCCAGCTGGACACCACGACCTAGTGCAAGCACATGTCTAAACAGAGTGTGCTATGTTCTGTGCCAAACCACCATTCCTTGTCTTATTTGCTATAACTCTTCTAGATAGAGTCTAGGAATGACTCTGAAATCAGAATCATCTCCAGCTTCCTTCCTCTGCTCTCTATTAGCTGTCAAGTCCCAGAGTCTGCTCTTACAGTATCGCAGGTCCATTCCCCTGCTGACAGCTTACCTAATGTTACCTGCAGGAGGGAGATGTGGAGGTGGTGTGCCAGTGGCAAAGGGCCTACTTGGAATCCATTTAAATGGAATTTTCTTTATTTGTGGAGGGGGAAGGATTTAACTAAATTAAGATTTTAAATAAACAATATGGAGTAAGTGAAATCTGTAAGAGATTGCCAAGAAGTTTTGCAATAAATAACTTAACTTGGGGCCTTTCTCTCCCCTGTTTTGTTTTTCTATGGAACTGACTCTTCTGTTTAGCACTTCTAATTTATGCTACATGCAGCCATCAGATTAATCTTTCCAATCCACAGCTACAATCAAATTAAATATAAAGATCACTGCCTGATTTTCAAAATTCTGTCATTTTTCCTATGCTTCTTCCACCTGGAATAACTTCCTCTGATGTTTACCTCCCACAATCATGCCCACCCCAAGGTCTTCTGTAAAGTGAGTATTTACTGACATTTAAGTCATCAAAGGAAGGGACTGTCTCTCACATGTCTCTGCTCATGAGACACTCAGATATGTATTTAAACTTTGGATGTTATTAGTAGCTGATGAACAATTTTCGTAAAACAAACAGCATATGAAAAAGAAGTTTAAATTGCTGTCTCCTCTGTATCAATGTTAACAGTTCATTAAAAAAAAGTTTACGACTTGGGAGCTTTTAAAAATCAAGATCTAATTCTCCTTGTTTACTTACTGTACAATACACAATGAAAGTGTCACATACACACTAAAGGTGGGAATAGCAGAGAGAAAGCGAGATGCTGACAGTAGAATGAGCAGACCTGGCCCCATAGCTGCAGGCTGAAGTGGTTACCACTAGAGCTCAGGCATGGTCAAGCTTACTAACTCAAGGAACATATTTATAATCCTAAGATGTTTGGGGGCAGTTTTATCGCAAGACAAGCCCTCACCTCCCTTAGAAAAGCTATGACTTAAAAAAAAAAAAAAACCTACAGTTAAAAACTGCTTCTGGAAAGCTGAGCTTCTTTTAAGATACCAACATAATGTACTTAATGTACTTCTGTCAACTTAAATATCAGGGCTACTAAGAGCACTACTACACTTACAACAAAACCACGAACTCAGCTATTCCCCAGAAGAAATCCGTTATAAAAGATAATCTCCATGGGGACTGACTCCGGCTGTCCAACACTTGTCCTAGAAACAAGAATAAAGAAACTTCAGTTAGTGCTACAAATCCCTGATACAAGATGCATAACATTTTATCAGCTAGGTAACACTTATGGACTTAGTTTTCAACTCGTCCACTGTTCCAAATGGTCAACACAGGAGAGGTCTGTTACATGAACATCGTTCTAAGGAAGGGTTCAGGGAAGTAAAGCTCTGTGATGTAAGGTTCACTCCTTTAATATGTCTAATTATGCCTTTTATAGTTTGTAATTTTGGTGGGTGACACTTCAAATTTTTTCTTTTTTTATTGTGTTAAAATATACACAAAAAACTTTTACAATTTTAACCATTTAAAAAAGTATACAGTTCTATGGCATTCAGTACACTTACACTGTAGTACAACAATCAACACCAGCCACTTCCAGAACTTTTTCATCTTCCCCAACTAAAACTCCACACCCATTAAACACTAACTCCCCATTTCTCCCTTCCCCCAGACCCTGGCAACCACCATTCTACTCTGTCTCTTGAATTTGACTGCTCTAGTAACCTTATATGAGGAATCAAAGAGTATTTGTACTTTGGCAACTGGCTATTTCACTTAGCATAATGTCTTCAGGGTTCATCCATATTGCAGCATGTATCAAAGTTTCCTTCCTGATTAATACTCCATTGTACATACTTACTACGTTTTTGTTCATCCATTCATCTGTTGATGGACACTTGGGTTGGTTCCATCCTTTGGCTACTGTGAAAATGCTGCTATGAATATGAGTGTATGACTATCTGTTTATTCAAGTATTTTGAAGAAACAAATGGGATGGGTGAATATAAAGAATGCTAATACCACTTCAGAGTATCTTTTTCACTTGTGAGGTCTGTTGCCTATATAAAAAGATTGTACATACTCTTAAAATTCTTAGAATCAGTTGTTATGTCAAAATTCTTATAAATCAAAGATCTGTGTGCTCTAAGTACTGAAGAGAATTTGGCTTGTTCATTAAAATGACCACTATTTTTCTTTATAAGAATATTGTTGATCCTAATTAAGATTCCAGCTTTATCTTACAGAAAAATGGATCTATTTTTCAAACCACTTTAAATAACAGAAACTACAACAGAAAAAGTTAATACTCTAGAGTTCCAGCCCTGCAAATCATCAGGTTAGAGTATTTCGGGAGAAGAGCCATCTGTCAACTCCCTTTCCATTTTTCCTTCAGCTTCACCACACTCACTGCCATCTCCCCCACCCCCACCTCCAATATGGTTTACTTTTCTTCTTTCCTTCACCAGCTTACTTTCAGGCATCTACTTGGACCTGAGCTCTCACAGACCTACTGAGAAAAAAGGGCTACACTTAAAGACAGCATGAGTGATAGGCTTGGTTCTGCCTGTTACTAGCTCCGCTTTGTTAAGTGATGTGACATTTTCTCTGAGAAAAGTATTGCAAGGCTAGTCACCATATAGGATTGTGGAAAAAAAGGTCATCTGACACTAAGGAATACTTTGTCAACTATGAAATGTTGATACAGCCCTTTTAAGAAAAAAGATCTAACTGGAACCCATCAAATTCTTCCTATGTGATTCTAAAGAACCTATTGCATGCATTTGTATCATTCTGACTTTTTGCACTTTTACTCCTGGTTTCTGAAGGCAGAAACCTCCCCTCTCAATATTCTTAGAAATAGATTGCTTGAATGCAACTGGCATTTCTCAATTATAAAAACGAGATTAAAGGCCCTAATAGGACCTATATGTTATTTATGTAGATCAATAATACAACAGTACATACACAATAAGACACTAAAAATACAAAGAATTATTCAATAATGTGTAAGTAATAGAAGCTGCCAGCCTTAAGCACAGAGGATATAACACAAAGTCTGCAAGTGCCCAAAACTAAGATGAAACTCTGATCCTTTTCTTTAATGCTCATCAACCTACTTGTTTTGAAAAATTGTAAGTGAGAGACAAGGAGGAGAAAGTGAGACTGAAAAGCAAAGAAATGCAAAGTGCACACAGACAGAAGACTTCTCACTGACTTGAACATAAATGATTCAAACAGAACTAGGGGCTGGTTCCAGTGACCCAAGGACTACTTGTCAAGAGTGCACCAAGGCATTTATTTCACCTGAGTCAAACAGGTGGGCAGGCAGTTCTGATATTGTTCTGACCCAGTCATACTGTCTTCCCTTTACACTCCCTGCCTTTGGGGAGTCACAAAATTAAGTCTCTCTCAGAGTCTCCATTCCGGTAATAATCAACTTGCTCCTACAGAGAGTGGTGTTTCTCCCCGTGCTCCTTGAAATCAAGGCAAAAAGTTTATGCATGACGAATTACCTCTCTCCTGAGGGAAAAAGCTTTCACCCTATTCTCTCACAGCGTTTAGAAAGAGGCAGTAGGATAAATAACCGCAAGGACGCTGACGTCAGCCCACCTGCGTACGAAACCCAACTGAGCCCTTTGTGACGCTGGGCAAGCTATTTAATCCGGCTGCGCCAGTCTCCACTCCTAAAGCATCAAATAGGGTATTACCCAGATAGTGCGAAATAAAGACCGAATAGGTGGATAAGAGAACAACGCTAGAGCAGTGCCCCAGACATAAGTGCTACGCAAGAAGTGTGGACACTCCAGTCATTACTAATTAAGGACAACGACGCCCGATAGGAAAGACCTCTTTCCGAGACCCACAATCAGAACTACCACGACGACGAGGACGCCGGGCATCCGGCACCGCGGTTACCACAAAGGCCTCGGCCTCCGCGGCTGGCTCAGGGATGATGGGCTGACGCGCCGCAGGCCGGAGCGACTTCACCTCCAGCTCCGCCTAGCCAGGGGCCGTATCCGGGAAAGCCGTGCCGGGCCCGGTGGGCAAGGACAGAAGAAACTCGGGGCCCAGCCTCAGAGGACGAAGGTCGCCCTAGTATCCTCTCCAACTCACCATTCGAGATGTAAACCATCTTGCCTCCTCCCAGCCTCCGGAGCGACAGAAGTGTCTGGCCCCTCTCAGCTTCCGTATCCCTCTTTGCGCCCGCCCTCTGACGTCACAAGGCACGTAGCGCAAAACGGCGAAGAGGAGGGAGGTGGGCAGAGTTCATTGGCTCTGGGGAGACACGTCCCCGGCCGGCGTTTGGTTTCGTCAAGCCAGTGACTTCTGGCGTAAAGCGGAGGCTGACGGGCAGATGACCGGATATGACGTTGGGATTTAGCCGGTAAACTCGCGCTTTACTGTCTCCTTAGGGGTTGGATTTTGGAGAGCTCTTTTGCACCACCTGGAGAAGAGATGCTGGTTTCTAGTTGTTAGAAAGGCCCAGGGTTGGGGAGTAAAGGCCACATGTGAAGTGGCTTGGAGAACCGCTAGCGGGAGGAAGTTCCTAAGAATTTTCCGGAATTGTGGATCTTTGAGGGAGTTTCGGGCGGAGGCGGTGATCAAACCATAAAGAGCTTTATTGTCAAGCCTTCGGGAATACACAGGCATCTCTGGATGATGTACTTATACTCTTTAGAATCAGCGTTTCTGCTCTTGGTTCACCAGAAGTGGTTGGAGTTTTTATCAGCTCTTGTGAAACAGCTGGAAAATACTGTAACCCAGAATAGCTCGAGACCTTTCTCTGCTTGTTTCTCATTCCTGGCTACTGCGTGATATGCCAACATTGTGGAGGTGAAGGACGAATTGATGTCTCGTGGTCTTTGATTATACATGGACTGCATACAAAATGCTGATGGGTATTTACTCTGCATCAGCCACTGGGCTACTTTCTGGTCGTTGACCGTGGCAATTTAATTCCTCTCCTTTTGCTTTTGTATTTGGCTGTTCTTTCTGCGCGGAGGCCTAATTTTTTCCCCCCTAGTTCTCAAGCCGTGTGTTGTTTCCTTAGAGTTACAAATCACCTTAACTAAAATGAAATTGAAATTTTGCTTTTAAGAGTGTGCTAAGATTGTATGTTCCAATACCTAAACATCTTAATATTGACTTTTTGTAGCATTTTTCCTCCTAAAAGTGCATAAAAGGACAAGACACCATCCTTTATATTTGAAATTTTTGCAGCGGTATCATGAAGGGTTATTTTTGCACAGATATTGGGATGGGATCATTACTTTTCCCAAGGACCTTTCTTAACCTCAGCCATAACCACCACCATCTCTTACCTGCTCTTCTCTAGTTGCCTTCTACCTAAAATCACAGCTTCCACCTTTACCAAGCTTAAGCAGCTTTTCACACTGCAGCAAGAATGATCTTAAAATGGAAATCACTCCATTCACTTGCTTGCAACCTTTTAGACATCAAAATTTTGTGATTTGCTATTGCTTGTATGATCTAGTTCCTTGTCATGGTCTAGGCCCATCATGACATATCTATTTAATTGCCCCTTTAATTACACCTCCTACCACAATCCCCACCCAAACTTTGCTCTAGTAACATTGTTCTTTAAGTCCTGAGCACCCAAGTTCTTTCATGCCTGCAAGACTCTGCACATGGTGTTACTTCTCTACCAGGGTGCTCTCCCGCTGCCTTCTTGCATATCCAGCTCCTTTCATCTTTTAGAGCTCAGCTTAAGTGTCACCACTTTTGAATTCCTTTTTCTGGCCAATCATCTCCATGATTATTTTCTTCATAGTACTTACCACAGTGTGAAAATATTTTATCTCATAATTGGCTTTTGTCTCTCTCCAGAAAATTTTAAGACTTAAGAGGTCAGGAATCTTACCTGCCTTGTTCCCTTTTATATCTTCAAGGTCTGTCATAGTCCTTGGCAAGTAGTAGGTACTCAGGTATTTGCTGGTAGAGAGGGAGGGAGAGAGACCAAGAGCGATCTTTCTAAAAGCTTCCTAAAAATCTCCGCAATCACCAAAGGAGGAAGGAAACTAATACTGGGATCTCCTGAGTACCAGACACTACTGGGCTGTCTCTTCCTCTTCATCCGTCTGCCTAGATTGTTTCTTCCTAAGATACAGTAATTGATACAGTAATTCCCTAATGAACTACCTCTAGCCTCTCCCACTCCACTTCGTGCTCTATTTAGTTACTCATTTAAACCAGTCTTGCTTCTTTCCCGCTCACACCTTTGGTTTCTCCTCACCACCTGACAGTTAACACCCAGCCTCCCTGGTCTGGTATTGATGACTTCCATGATATATTTTCTTAGGTTTATCTCTATGACTTCTAATTTCCTAATAGATCCCTTATTTTCCTTCCTTGTTTCTGCTCATTTATTTTTCCTCTTGATGGGAATTTTCCCCACTTCTTAAAATCTAATCCATCCTTCAAGGTGAGGCATGTTCCTATCAAATGAAATAATGAATATGAATGGGCTGCAAATTAAATATATATATTTATAATATAATATATATATAATTAGTAGCAAAATGGGCTGGAGGACAAAGAACATTTCCCCTTTCCCAAATCTTTCATGTAAAGAACTGCAGGTTAGTTACCAGCCACATGTGGCTGTTGAGCGGTTGAAATGTGGCTTGAGTCTGAACTGAGATGTGCTACATGTGCAAAATATTCACTAGAGATTTAGAATGAAATAATGTCAAATATCTCATTTCTTATATTGATTACATGTTGAAATGATTATATTTTGGGTATTGGATTAAAATATTTTATTAAAAGTAATTTTGCCTGTTCCCTTTTACTTTTTTAATGTGAGTGCTAGAAATTTTAAATTACATACTTGACTCACATTTATGGTTCACATTATATTTCTTTTGGACATCACTGGTTTATAATGAAGACATTATTGGCCTGGCACAGAAAAGATACTCATTAAATATTTATGGAATGGATGAATGAATTAATGGATGAATGGTCTTAATAGTGGATAATATTTATGTAAGTTTTGTTATGTGTCAAGTACTATTATTTCATTTAACCCTTACAACAACAATAATAATAGCTAACATTTATATAGTACTTACCCTGAACCAGGCAATGTTCTAAGTGCTTTTTATGTATTAATTCGTTTAAACCTCAACCTTATTAAGTGGGCTCTACTATTACTCCCATCTTACAGATAAGGAAACTGAGTCATAAAGAGCTCAGGTGACTTGCCCAGGGTCACACAGCTAGTAAGAAGCAGAGCTGAGATTAAGACCAAGAGTGTGGCTCTATAGTTTGTGCTCTTGATTCCTATGCTACCCTGCCTCTGCACACATAAGCAGAAGTATTCAAATAGGAGGACACAATCCAATGTGGTACTCAAAATATAGAATGGGAGGTGGTTTCTGGAGACAGTTTAAATGTATCTCAGTTTTCTCAAAGATACAAAATAACTTCCCACAGTTTGTCTTTTCTAGACACCCTAAGCATAAAATTCCCCTAAGCATCTCTAAATTGTTACCTACACATCTCAGTACCAATCCCTTGGCCAGAGGATGGGCTATTCTGAATGACAGCTACCTCTGGAGCTGGAACTGGAATCAATCCCACTTAAGCCACACTGGTGAAGAGAGGTAGTGCTAACCACATTATAGTGAAGGAGTTCTGGGTTACATCAAAACAGTAAGATGCCTTCAATACTGCCTTCAGGGAACATGGGAAACAGATGGCATTTATATTCTTCATTAACCTTTTATGTGTTTGTTCTTACAGTTATTGCCTTTGTATTCTTTATTTCATCTGGGCTCAGATATCTTAGCTCTCTGTCTCATTTTTCTACCGTATATTCTTTACTGATGTTTTTCACAGTAACTGTTATTTCTTATTTTTATTTCTTTTAGTTTATGTAGCCTCAGGCTGGACATGCTGTGCAAATCATTTCTGAGCCAGTAAGCACCTCATACCTTCAGCTGAACTGATGGTTGTACTGCTCTACAAGTCGCTTTTTTTTTTTTTTGAGTAAAGGTAGACTTATTCAGAGAGATACATACTCCATAGACAGAGTGCAGGCCATCTCGGAAAGTGAGGGAGCGAGAGGCTACAAGTCACTTTCTTAAACTACTTGAACTCATTTTCTGCATCAAAATGGGAAAATGTTCATAGAAATTCACAATGCTATCTTCCTGGGAGAATTTGGTGGATTAAGAAGTTAGGGATTTCATCTGTAATCTCTAAAGTATATCACAAAGTTAATTATATTATCAGTTTCATTAGTGTGCCTATGTGGTTAAATTTAAACAGTATCTTTAAATGAATAAGTAATATCTAGATTCAAACCGTGGTTCTGTTACAGGAAAAGAAATACTATTCCACTTATAATTTCTAACCTTCTAAACTCATGATCTAGTTTTAGCAACGTGGTAGTGTAATGGAAACTGTTACAGTGGTAAATAGAAAGAAATCTTGGGGCCAGTTTGTAAAGTAAAACCATCAGAGATTTAGGTCTTCTATTATAGATGCATTAACTGATTATCAAAAACACATTTTTAAATATTTTTAGAATTATATTCTATAGTACAGAAACAGTATTACTTTCCAAGCCTTATGTCTAGATTCCTAAAAATGGAGTAAAGAAATATAACAGAAGTGTACTTTCTCTCACTGTGTCCATAAGTCTCAAGATAAAATTGATTTTTACATTTTGAAAAAGTTAGAATCTAGATATGTGCCTGTTGAATTTAAGAAACATTTAATTTTTCTTATTCACTAAATGGTTTGGAGCAGAGCATCTGATAGTCCTCAGATCTTTTTTGTTTGTCAATGTGATACCTGTATATAATATAAAAAGCAAAAGATACAAATGGATAGTCCATAAAGCATAAATCTCCTATCTTCCCCTGTAAGCCAGGATTCTAAATTTCCATCCTGTAGCTTAGCGAAGCTGTTATTAGCATTGCTTGGCAAATTCTTTTTGGGCAATAGTAGCCTCAGTGAGAGACTCATCTGTCTGAAGTTCCATCTTTTCTGGGATCTTGGCCAAGTAATTCTTCACTTACTAGCATATTTAATGTTTAAACGTTTCCCCCCTTTATTTTATCTGGATTTTTAAAATTGCCCTCAGCAGAAGAGTTAATATAAATTACTTAATCCTTCATGATGAAGTGGAAGTTGATGTGTTGATTTTAAAAGTTCTGCTACTTATGTGTAAATAAAATTTCCAGAGCAACTGCTATTTTTTCTAATACAGTCAAAACACATATGAAC